CCAACTAATTTGGGCCGGCCCGGTGGCGCACTGGAGAGTGCGCTGCTTGGGAGTGTGGTGGCGCTCCCGCTGAGGGTTCGGATCCCATGTGGAGACCGGTTCCCGCTCACTGGCTGAGCGAGGTGCGGGCGCAACACTGAGGGTTGCGATCCCGTTACCGGTCAGTAAAAAAGACAAAAAAGGAAAGAAAAAAAAAAAAAGGTGCTTGGTTTATATTACATACAGGCTTTTTTGTTCTAAAGAACAGTTTACTGATAATATTTTTCATGTCTTAAGTGTGAGACTTTAGGCAGTATCAGTAATAAAGATCAATATATTTAATTTTTTTGTTTTTTCAAGATCTTCATTTCAGTAAGTAGCTTTAATGGAATAGCACATGAAATTTGAGTATGGGATTTTTTTAAAAAATTACTTGATTAGGAAAAAACTGTTGTATCTTTGTGAACTTTAATACTTATTCCTCTATTTTTCTCCTATTTCTTATGCTAAGCTAGAATGATACTCATCAAAGTATCCAAGTACTACAGTACTGCAGTCCCCCCATCCGTGGTTTCAGTTACTTGCAGTTTCAGTTACCCATAGTCAACCATGGTCTGAAAATGTTAAATGGAAATTCCAGAAATAAACAATTCATAAGTTTTAAATTACCTGCCATTCTGAGCAGTGTGATGAAATCTCATGCCATCCAGCTCTGTCCCACCTGGTACATGAATCATCCTTTTACCCAGCATATCCACTCTATAAGCTACATGCCCGCTACTCACTTAGTAGCTGTCTTGGTTATCACATTGACTGCTGCGGTATAACAGTGCTTGTGTTCAAGTAACCCTTATTTTATTTAATAATGGCCCCCAAACACAAGATGCTAGCAATTCGGATATGCCAAAAAGAAGTCATGAAGTGCTTCCTTTTAAGTGCAAAAGTGAAAGTTTGACTAAAGAAGGAAAGAAAAAAATCATATGCTAAGGTTGCTAAGAGTTATGGTAAGAATGAATCTTCTATCCATGAAACTGTGAACAGTATATTATTATAACTGTTCTATTTTATTATTAGGGGTCGGCTTTAGCTCAAGCGGTTACTTCCTCAAGCCAGACTTCACTCTGTCTATTTTATTATTAGTTATTGTCGTTAATCTCTTACTGTGCCTAATTTATAAATAAAGCTTTATCATAGGTATGCGTGTATAGGAAAAAACATAGCCTATATAGGGTTTGGTACTGTCCAATGTTTCAGGCATTCACTGGGGGTCTTGGAAGTATCCCCTGTGGATAAAAGGGTACTACTGTAATGTAAACAAGTATCTTTGTACTAATAACAGATTCCTTTAACAGGAACAGACTTTTGCAGTATAAATGAAGCTGTTGTTTTTCTACTTTCATTCAAATAGTCATCTTTAGTGAGCTAATGCTAATAGTAATCCTATTTTAATTATTATCACATTTCAATAAGATAGTACCAGTTTTGTTACTAATTAGTGTTCATTTTCCATTTGAATGCTATATTCTACAAAATTCACATATACAACAATTATGCTTTTATTTTAACTAAGTTGTATATCTATGGAAGCCCATATTTATACTAAATGTGGTGTGACCTATTTCATGTCTGTACCCACTCATTTTTAAAAAAGTGTATCTATCTTATACACATCTGGTACAGACTAAGAAGTATTCCTTAAAAGTAAATTTAGGAATAGAAAATGAAATGTTTTGTAAAGCTGTAAGAATGTAATTTTCTTTATAACAGCATACCTTTAAAGAAACATTCTTGCCAAATGTCACATCTCCTGAAACTGTGAGGTGATCCAATTCAAGCATATCTGGTATACTTTCAAATCTTCTTAGATAATCTTGAACCTTAAAGAAAAGTAGAAACAAAAGTTGTTTCAAAAATGGGTTTACAGAAAAAGAAGAATTATATTAACCGAATAACAAAATAACTACACTGTAAATACAGTTTATGGCCAATCTCAGGTCCTATATAGGAAGAACCTATTTACTAAGCACTCCTATATGCTAGATCCTGTGTAGGAGAGACAAGAAGATAGGGACATTGTCTCCACAATCAAGCAATTTACAATACAGTTGAGCAGATTAGACATTAAAAAAAAAAGAAAAAGATAACCAATCAACATTCTGAGAGCCAGAGTAGTTCACATAATCTGGGTTTAGCTGGGAAAAGAGGGAGAGATCATGATGGTTTGAAGGAGGCTAGACTGAAGCTGGCCTTTAGGGGATGGGTAGGATTCAGAAGACATCGCGCACATTTTAGGAAGAGCAACAGCACAGGTTATCACTATCTTTGCCTCTTATTTCCTCAAATTTACAAGCACTAGAGATTATCCTATACAGCCACGTTTCCTATTTTGCTGAGAAAATAGAAGCAATCAGAAAACTTCACTGGCTTCCATGACTACCACCACCACGACCCCTAGCCCATTCATTACTCTACCTTCCCTTGCAGTACCGGAGTAGAACAGTTTCTACTCCTACTTATGCATTAGATCCCTTCTTATGGCCTATTCAAGGATATTGTTCCAGCAGTTCTCCCTCTTCAATGCTTTGTTCCTCTTGACTGAATCGGTTCCCATCAATGTATAAACATGCTATACATTCTCCCATATTTAAAAAACAAAACCTCTCAAACCTTATATCTCTTTCTACCTATGGCCCCATTTCTGTTTCACTTTTAAGGTCAAACTCTTGAATGAGTTGTCTACATTCGTATCTCTGATTCCTCTTCTCCCATTTTCTTTTAAATCCATTCCAGTCAGGCTCCAAAACCTCCATATTGATCAATCTAATGTTGAATTCTCATTCATCTTACTTGAATCAGCAGCAGCATTTGACACACAATCACTCCTTTCTTGACACATTTTCTTCATTTGACTTTCAGGACATATGCCTTCAGTTTTCCACCCCATTCCTCATCTGCAATCCACACCAGATGGCAATAAACCACACCCAGCCTAGAATGGATTTGGACGGCATAGCAGGTCCCTAGCCAGCCACAAAGCCTCACCCTATCACTTCACTGCCTCCCAACATTTTATGTGACTGAGTTTTGGGGCATCCACTTATTATGTTAGGATGGGGTTTTGCTAGACAGATGCTCTTCGACTTAGCGATGGGAGATTACATTCTCATAGACCCGTCATAAATTGAAAATATAAGTTGCAAATGCATTTAACACACCTAACCTACTGAATGGCATGGCTTAGCCTAGCCTACCTTAAACATGCTCAGAACACTTGTATTAGTCTATAGTTGGGCAAAACACCTAACACAAGGCCTATTTTATAATAAAGTATTGAACATCTCATGTAATACCGAAAGTGAAAAGCAAAATGGTTGTTTGAGTACTTGAAGTATGGCTTCTACCAAATGCGTACTGCTTTTGCCCCATCGTAATGTCAAAAATTCATTAAGTTGAACTATCATAAGTTGGGGACTGTCTATACTTGCTATTACCCCTACCTGAAACACTCTTTGCCACAGATACTCAGCTTCTCAGGGAGGCCGTCTTTGGCCACCCAATGTAAAATTACACCAACACCCCACCACACGTTCCCTATACTCCATCCCTGCTCTATTTTTGTGTACAGCATTTTCCACCACCTGATATATTATACATTTACTTACTTATTTGTTATCATCCTACCCCACTAGAATGTCAATTCCATGAATATAAGGATTTTAGTCTGTTTTGTTTACTGCTAAATCCCCAGCACCTAGAACACTGCCCAGCACAGGGTAGGAACTCAATAAGCATCTGTTAAAAAAGAATTAACCTTTCCCCATTGATGAACGTAGTACTTGTCTTGGAAAAGACATAAGATAAAATGTCCCAAAATTTAAACATTCTTTTCTACTCCCTATAGCAATCAAATTTCAAAAGTGAGATACATCTTTACCTTCCACAATCAATTCCCCTTCAAAGACATCAAAGATGGAGGCATACAACAGGTCAGCAGTGGAGACTAATTAGTTTCCAATGCACATGTAAATCATATCTTCACAATTACGTACCTTTGTAAAAGAACTGCCTAATTTAACCAGGGGCACTGTAGGAAACTCCCGCTTTTCACTCATCGTCAAAGATCCTGCATTAAGGCTATAGAGGTTTGACATCACAAGCAAGAGATCTGATGTGGTTTTGACAGGCAGAAAACGGCTCCTTGGAACATTAATACCTAGAGAATTCTCAAAACTTTTAATGGCCGCCCCTACTGCAGTTTCTAACTGAATGACATTCAGGCCTCCATCCAAAGTCTGTAAGAAATGGCAGGGGAGGAGGGAGAGAGAAACAGGTTTTAGGCAACTACAATTTAGTTCCATTTGGGAAGTGGTTTCAGAGACTCACTGAAGGAAAACAGAACTTTGAGAACTGACATTTATCAAGCACTCACCACAGGCCAAGCAAGCACTTACAAGTGAACTTTTTTCAGTCATAACTCTTCTATTCAGTACTATTTCGATTTTAAAGACCCAAAGCTTCAGAAAACTCATTCAAGGTGCCTATGGCCAAATGACCTGTGTGAGCACAACTACTAAGACAGGCAGGTCCTCTACTTTTGAGCCCAGTGCTCTTGTTACTACCACAGCCCAGGGTCAAATAAGGGGCACCACAGCTTGGCACACTACAGGGATGAGAGCAGACTCTGGAAGACAGGGCCAGGAACTGGAGAGTCTGAATAGGCAAAAAAGAGTGACCGAGGGAAAAGACAGGCCAGAGGGAGTGGGTAGTGGTGTCTGTGTGTAGCCTACTGTGTACGATGTTAGGAACCAGGGAGCTGAAGGGGCCATGACCTTGGCTTACCTTTGGATTCACAATGATTTCCATGTCAATGGCATTCTGCTCCTGCAGTCTTTTAACTGCTGCAAGAGAAATCCATAGGTTGTTTGTGTTAAATATTTTGAATTTTGATACAGACTTGAACTCATCAACATGTGCTTTTGGCACTTGAGCGATTTCCACCAGTCTCAGTTTGCCTTCATACTGAGTGAGTGTCCCACCCTAGAAAAGCAGAAAATAGTGAGCACTTCCACATCTCTCCCAATCACAACCATACCACAGTGTTTCTAGTCTATGAATTTTATAAAAAAGACACCGATAATAGACTCTCCCAGAATACAAAGCAACATATGTTTGAAGGTAGAACTGAAGAAAATAATTCAGGTGATCAGTCATTTTACACTGTATACTTGCCATCTTGTGTGTGTGTGTGTGTGTGTGTGTCCGGTAAGGGGATCGTAACCCTTGGCTTGGTGTCAACCGCACCGCGCTCAGCCAGTGAGCGCACCGGCCATCCCTATATAGAATCTGAACCCGCGGCCTCGGCGCTCCCAGCGCTGCACTCTCCCGAGTGAGCCACGGGGTCAGCCCTACACTTGCCATCTTGTCCATAATAAAAGCCCTGGGAGTGCATCAGGGTCTTTCTCACTTCCCTAACGTTGATACAGAAACAGCCCGTTCCTTTTATTCCCAAACCACTGCATCACCAAACAGCTAGTCCTACCACCTCAAGCCCTGCTCTGATTGGCTCTAGGATAAAGGGAGAAAGGAGGAAACAGATTCGCAAGTGGGCAAGAAGTGATCCATGAATGGCTTCAGGCTAAAGATGTCCTTATAGTCACTAGGCCATGACAGCATGGGAAGAGGGAGACACTTGCAAAAGACATAGAATCCAGGCCAGGAACTGACTGCTTTAGTATTCACACACTGCCCACTTTTCTTACTTGCTGTGGGTAAGTAGTAAAACCCTGTTTTCAAAGGCCAAGTGTCACGACCACCAAATATGCAAGGTTAAAAAAATTTGCACCTTGCACCAAAACAACTCTTTTTTTTTTTTTTTGCCAAGTACAGAGATATTACAGTGATAATACAAAAAATATATATAGATTTATTCTATGAAATAGAAATAATAAATTTTCATAAAAGGGACATGAAATAAAAACACTTAACTGCAAAACTAGAAGAATATTAGAGGTCTGAACAAACTTATTGAAAGTGTTTCACATACAAGGGTACTTTAAAAAGTTCATGGAAAAATAAAATTAAAAGATAATACAAATGAACCTTATGAAGTACCCTCATATGTTTCAAATTTATTTCATACATATATATGGGACTGTTTTCAGTTAAAATTATTAACACAGATTATCCAAAAAATAAAGATGATTTTAATACTGTCAATTCTGGATTTATAATACACACTGTATGTCAAACAGAACTGAAGATACTCCACAGAATACCATCTCATTCATGTGTCCTGCATAAAATAGAAACTTTCAAATTTGAAAAAAAAAAGGGGGGTTTAACTATACAATCTATGAAATGTGAAAACAAGAATCTCCCATCTGCTTCCTCTCAGTATTTACCTTTACATCTGCACGCGTTTTATTTGTGACTTCCATGACAAATTCACAGCGTTTTCCATTGGGTGGATTCATTAGATGATTAAGAATATAAAGGTCTACTGTGGCACCCAGGTTATCTATGTTAGATACAAAAATATATTCTTTGCCTTCTCCTATAAAGGTATCGAGCAAACCAGAGTTGTAGAAACTGGCATAGATATCACCATGACCTGGAGGGTACCAAGCTTCTGTATTTTCCCCTGAGTAAGATACATCCTTTGCTACAGGAAGTAAAGATTCTTTATTAATCCTCGGGTACCTTAAAAAAAAAAAAAGTTTTTAAATATCAACTCTGTACAGCATTCCAGACCTTCAAGTAAAACAGTGCATTACAGTTAAATAAAATTTCCCTTCTTTTCAGAGTCTATCAATAGCAAGTAATTTAATTACAGGTGAGTCTATTTTTTAAAAATCTCTCATTATTTGTGTTGTCCAAAATCTATGTTGTCTAAAAAGATAGTAATAGTTGCTGCAAAACAAAGTTTTCCATGGCCACAGAGCTGGAAGGACACCTCATATTTTTAAGATATTAATATGTTTTATGACTCTCCAAGAGGAGTGATTAAGTAATTAAGAAGGTTAAGTAAATTTTCTTCAACTTATTTGGTTGTGGGATTGTTCTGTTCTCTGAACATCTATTTGGGAAAAGCTGACCATTCTTAAACACAGATATATTCAGGGGTGGTTCTCTTTCTTTCCCAGAAAATCATCAGCAGGTTAGTATTCCAGGATGTACGCTTTCCACCACTAGTAAGAATAAAGGTTAAGGGCTTGTATGGGGGAAGGGGAAAGCAGCAGCGCTAGCGCTGCAACAGACTGAAGACCAACCAGAAAATGGAGGCAAAGCATCTGTGACATAAGAAATGTCTATGGGAAAATAGATTTTAAAAAACCAACCAAACTAATGGTACAACTTGAGAAATATCCTTCTGTGTAAGTTCATGTAGACTGATTTCCATCCTTATATTGGAAGCCTTATTTCCCTAATTGCTGGGCTTTATCACAATTCATCATCTGAATTCCTTTTTACCTGTTCTCCCTTCCTCAAAGTAAGATTTTCTTAAAAATTTATTTAATTACCCCCAACCCTATTCAGGATGTTGAAGAAATTCCTTTCTACAGAAAAGAAGATTATCAATACTGGAAAAATATAGAAAGACTTTTCACAGACCCATTTGGAGACCAAATATACCCTCAAAAAGCAAAGATCTCAGTTATCCTCAAATATTCTAGACACGGAACAGAATCTCAAGCAGTTTCTCTTTTAAGAATTGGAAGTTATAGAACCAAAGAGTGATTATAACAACCACATATCTATTAACAAATGTTCAGCTTTTAAATGCCTCAAACACTTGCAAACATTAATCTTTGGCACATACACATCTTAAGGCTGCTCTTTTATAAATAAGATAAAGGGAAGTTATAGAACCAAAGAGTGATTATAACAACCACATATCTATTAACAAATGTTCAGCTTTTAAATGCCTCAAACACTGCAAACATTAATCTTTGGCACATACACATCTTAAGGCTGCTCTTTTATAAATAAGATAAAGTCCTTTCCCAGGAGTAACACACCCAGAGTTCATTTTTTTACTCCTTGTACCTGCTTTGATTAAAAGTGTAGATTTTCACACGACAGTGATTGTACTTCTGCAGTATTTTTTTGGTATCTTCATCCGTGTTAAAAGAATTCATTAAAACAAGAGGAACATCTGTATTGTAGGTTTTGTTCAAATGCTAGGAGGAAAATGACAATCAGATTACCCACACTTACTTTTCTTCTGCTTAAAAATATAAAACTAACTCTTAATGGTTAATCACAAAATATCTAAAACATTAACAATATGTAGCCATATATATAAGTTGGACATAAATAACTGCTTTGCAGAAGCCAGACTTTTTTTTAAGCAATTCACCAGGTACTTGCTCATTAAATCACAACTCTTTGAAACAGAAACTACTGTCTACATTTTACAGATGACTAAACTGTGGCCCTGACCGGTGGTGGGTCAGTGGCAGAGGTAGTCTGCCTTCCTGCCCCCAGGAGGTTCGGCTGTAGAGCTGTGTGCACAGCCACAGTGCTCTGCGGCCTGACTGGGTAGGCAAATGCTGATTAAAAATTTACTGGGTTCAGAGCTCTTTGGGGATGAAAGTACAAATGTTACAAAGACATGGCTCCTTGTTCTCAGGACTACTGGTCAAGAATTCTAAATCACACCTCAACTGAAATCTTTTCAATCTTGTAGAAGAGCTAAGAGGCAACACAGAGCAGGAAGAAAATGGGCTTAGAAGTCAGACTGTCCTATGTTTAAATTTTGATTCTGCACTTACTAATTAGCTAGAGAAACTTGGGCAAATAATTCAAACTCTCTGTGCCTTGTTTTCCTCATCTGTAAAATGAGATGATAACAGTACTTACCTTACAGAATTGTTGAGAGAACAAATGAGTCAATTCATGTAAAAAACATAGAATAATACTTGGTTCACGGTAAGAGCTGGATAAATGTTAGCCATGCTACTGCTAGTGTTGTGATTGTACTTGTCAGCATCATACTACACAATAGGGATAAAGAGAGAGAAGAGAAAGGACCACTGCCCCTGAAGAGCTTACGGTCTATGAGAAATGAATATGTCATAAGAGAGAAGCCGAGAACAGCTCTTAGCATACATGGCATCCAATCAGAAACGTGACATCCTCCCCACCTTCCCAAAAGGGGTTAATAAAGCCAGATCATCCCAGCCTTGATGAAGGATGCCACTAAAAAGAAAGTGGGTGAGGGGATAGGGAAATCAAAGGAGAATCTGAATAAACCCAGAGATTTCAGCAACCACATATGCTATTTAAGATCAAAAGCTTTTACATCACCCTAAGGATCTGCCTATGATTAGCTCAAATTCACATCTGCTACGTTTTATAACATAACATTTATGATAACCTAAAAACAAAAACTATTTTAGTATCTCAGGGGAAAGGCTAAACGTTACTCACTTCAATTTGCTGAACAGTCAGATCCAAAAAGGTATTCTCATTCCTCACACCTATCAGACTTTTAGGGCCTTTGCAGCCCATGCTGGTTCCCAAACCACCATTGAGTTTTACCACCACTAACTTGTTCAACACCGAAGATACATTATCAGGCAAGCCCCTGGCCTTTATCTTTTCATAAGGTTGAATCTGAAAGAAAAATAAAATTACAGGAGTAATTCAAACAGCTTTATGAGAAGTTAAAGCAAGTAAATCCCACGGTTATTGCCATGCTTCCTTAAAGAGTTTTGGTTTCTCTGTGAAAAGTTTCAACTGCATTTCCTTTAATGACATGAGCCCTTCTGGTTCAAAAACAAGTACTTACAGGCAACTTCCCTTGTACACAGAAGTAGTTCAGTGGTTTCTTTATATTACAATGGGGTACAAGAAGGGAGAAAAGCTGTAGTCTACAAATATTTGGCTGGCTGGTGAGAACACTCAAGTCTCTTGGACTATCTTCAAAAACTCAGAATTCCCAATTTACACCAACATAGCAAATGAGACACACAAAACTCTATCTAGTCTACATATTTCTGGTGCACTATGGATCTACTTAAATTCTGGAGAAGTATTTATATAATCATACTTTATTCTTTCTACTGGAGGCAAAAACCAAAACACACTTGTTCCTCTTTATTCCCCTCTGTTCAGTCATAAAGTTTGCTCTTCGGAGGAAGGTGGCATAAGCTTTTTGTCACACGTCCAGTTATGCACAAGGAAGAATTCCTTCCACGAGAACTTAACTTTCGGGTGTCACTGTATAAAAGCCCATACTGGAAAATTAAGTGTTCTCACTGTTCCAAGAAATGCCCTGGAAGGGAAGGAGAGGTTAAGAGCTGGAGCTGGAGAAAATCCTAACTCAGTCTCCTCCCTAGCCACCTCATCGATTTCTGTGAGCAGAGAAATCTTTTCTATAGGGGAGAAATCTTCAATTTCTCCCCTATAGGAAAGGAACAACGACACTTACAGCTGAGGCCTAAATTACTTTGTTCAAGGCAGAGACACAAGCAAGTCTACACATTGTATAGCAAGAATGAAAGCTTTAATATATATATATATATATATTTTTTTTTTCTATCCATTTCTGTGACATTTTTATTGTTGTTACTTTGCTTTAATGGAAGAGGCTTACAAATGGACTCTTCAGTTACATCATGGTGTAGGACAGAAAACATGAGTGGGCCAATGCTCTGTGAACATTAGCTGTTGTTTGTTCTACTACCTGTAGGGGTGGGGGGGGAGTGTGTGTGTGTGTGTGTGTGTGTGTGTGTGTGTGTGTGTGTGTGTGTGTGTGTGCGCACGTGTGTGTGATGGGTGACGTTTGTGATTGGGAAAAGACATGATGGGCTCACATTCCAGTAATCTAGGCTGGTGGAGACAAAAATCTCTTTATGCTTGGTCAGACAAATATACATACATATATCATATGTAGATTCCTGACCACACAATCCTTGCTAACAGTTCTTTCCACAAAAAACTAGTCTGTGACTTATTTCTTCTACACTGCAATTTGCTATATTAACTGCCAAGTGCAGATTAATACACTTTCTTGCCTGCTGTAAATACTGAAGAACTGGAGCACTCTTCTCCAAGGCTCTCTACTGGTTATCACCCCAATTATCACTCATTCTGAATTATTTCCTACTGTAGTAGGACTGTCAATCTTCCTGGTAAGTGCTGCTTAGTAGCCTTCTGCAGTCACTCATATTCATGAACCAAAAGAAGGGCTGGTATCTGAAAAGACCAGAGGAGGGGACAGGCCTACTGGGCACTCCAGGGGATGCCACCTAAACAATGGGATGGTAAATGCCAAGGAAAGGAGGAGAGGGAGGTGGGAAAGAACACAAACCACATTGAGCGCTAACCCTTCAGCGCTTGATCCAGGTGAGGACAACCTAGGGGTGATAACAACCTAGACCCCCAAAACACACAGAGAGTGCTCATGGCCCAGTTGATATTCCTTTGAAGATGGTTTGATTTAACTCTACTGCCATGAACATCATTTGTTTAGCATTTCAAAGAAACTAGTAATACTGCTTGGGAGAAAAGGTCCCAATTTAAGTGCCATACTATTAGAAAAGTAAGAGTAGATGACAGAGTTGGAACCTTTTGTCACTTTGCTATAACAGGGAAGCTTATAATCCTTTCTAGCCCAGCTGCTGAAATCAAAGTCAGTAAAAGGAATGCCACTGTGATACCACGGCTTCAAGTAGTCTATTATTAGGCTAGAAGAATTACTTGGACACATTATATTCACTCAAAAAGTTTAACAAATGGAACCAAGCCAATTATTTTCCAATTATTTTATAAAAGCCAAGAATTTCCATTTAGCAGTTACTTTTCACTTCCCAGCAAGAATCTAATATTTACAGAGGTTTCTCAAAGGTGTGAAAATGAATTTAACTGTAAACTCCTAAGTTCATGCATTCATTTTAGGTAAAACTGTTAGTTCAGAAATATTCTTCCTATTTAATGCTTTGAATATACTTTTTTTAAAAAATAGAATACATGGACAATTTTTTTTTCTATACATGGTGAGACAGGCCTATTTTCCAATTCCACCTAAAAATTTTAATTATGAAACATCATACATATAAAACTTTATAAAATATACATATACAATTGAAAGGGTAACATAAAAAATGGAATACTGCTGCAACTTAGAAGCCTCCATGCATCTGTCCCTGATCACATTCCTCTTCCAACCCTAGGGGTAAACCCACTGTCTGGACTTTTACTCTACAGTTTTACCACCTTTACCACCTACGTGTATATCCTTAATAACAATATTTTACTTAATCTTATTTGTCTCTAAACTTCTAAACAAATCAAATCATACTACCTTATCATTGTAACAACATCAACAATTCAAACAAGGTATATCATTGGGATTTGTTGTCGATATTTGAATATTCTGTTTCAAATAGAGGTAAATATTGCCTAGATGTAATTGGTGTGAAAAATTTCATGTAACATTAATATCCTATCAGGTGAAGTATAAATGCTTCTTATTACAAGAGTAAAAATGCTATAATAATTAACGATGTTGAAAGCTATTAATTTTATGTCAACAATTAATGTTTTCAAATATTTGTCAGTTAAACAAATTGGGAAGCAGAATGACAGTAAACATAAAAACTCATACATTAGTTAGATATCTTTTTTTTTTTTTTTTTTTTTTTTTTTTTTTTTTTTTTTCCC